AGTTATCCAAAAGTATTCTTCACGATGATCCAATATGAAGATGGTATTATTTATCGTCATTGCACTACCTGCTGGGACAGGAGGCCAAAAGTAGGTGTCTGCAAAGGTTGAACTCGTTCAAGGTCTTTGGTCCCCATCGATCCCGAGCTCAAGAGGTCTTTGTCATTGCTACGAATAGAAGTGAGGGCAAGGAGTGGAAATTACCATACTCCTATAAGAGAAAGAGTGAGAGAAGAAGAGGATACTCCACCTTCCTCACCCTCAAGTGAAGACGTAGGTAGCTCTAATTCTTCACCAAGTTCGGAAATCAATCCTTTTTCAACCTTTGACTTTGAGAGTGTGCAACCCCCAAAAATGGGAGAGAATACACCTTTGAGTCTTCTTGGGGATCCCGAAGCCTTTAGGGCTCAAAGTGGAATCCTAGCTCATAGTACTCAAGCCAATAATTTCGAAATCAAGACTAATTTGATTGCCTTGATAAAGCGGAAAGAATTCTCAGGTGGAAAGTATGAGAGCCCTCATGAAGATCTAAAAGAGTTCAAGAAGTACTGTGATATAATATAAGCCAATGGGGTAACTCAAGAATACATTCGACTCAAGATGTTCGCGTTCTCTTTAATTGGGAAAGGTTTAGAGTGGTTAGAGAACGAGGTGTCCCCTAACTCTCTAACAACTTAGGACCAATTTACTACGACATTCTTGAGGAGATTCTATAATAATAGAAAAACAGCCACGTTCGGAGATAATCGAACCATTTACAACCCACGTTCGGGGACAATCGAACCAACTACATCCCACGTTTAGGGACAATCAAACCAACTACAATCCCATTCGGGGACAATCGAATTATTGTCATTTTTTTAGTGATCATCTCCCAACCGAAGATGATTCACATTGCAAGGTTTTTGATACACAATGGTGTGGAAGTAGACCCAGCCAAAATTGAAGTTGTGAAGGGTTGGCCTACACCCAAAACAGTGTCTGACGTTTGGAGTTTCTTAGGTCTAGCAGGATATAATAGGCGTTTTGTGAAAGATTTCTCAAAGATTGTTAAACCTGTGACTACTATGATGAAGAAGGACAAGAAGTTTGAGTGGGATGATAAGTGTGAAGAAGCATTCCAACTCTTGAAACAGAAGCTAGCACCAATGCTTACACTGCCAGACGATAGTGGTATCTATGATGTGTATAGTGATGCATCAAAGAATGGTTTGGGTGTGTGCTTATGCAAAATGGGAAGGTGATTGTATACGCATCAAGGCAGTTAAAGACCCATGAAGTGAATTACCCAATCCATGATTTGGAACTTGCTGCAATTATCTTTGCACTAAAGATCTGGCGTCATTACTTATATGGAGTGAAATGTAGAATTTACACAGACCATAAGAGCTTGAAGTACATTTTCACTCAAAATGATTTGAACTCTCGCCAAAGGAGATGGTTAGAGTACACGACGGATTATGACTTGGACATACAATCTCATGAAGGGAAAGAAAATGCAGTTGCAGATGCTCTAAGTCGTAAGACCAGTCATGGATTGAATACAATGATAGTGGCTGATGAGTTATGTAGAGAATGAGTAAAATGAAATTAGAATTTGTAGAATGGGGAGTACCAGCTGACATTCTTGCGAATTTGACTATCCAACCAACCAAATTCGATGAGATAAAGGAAAACCAAGCAGGAGATGTGAAATTGGATAGGATTCGTGAGAAAATAAAGCAACGCAAAGCTATAGATTTCAAAATTCACGAAGATGGAAGTTTGAGGTACAATGGTCGATGGTGTGTACTTCAAAAGTGTGAGGAAGTGAAGAGAAAGCTGATGGAAGAGAGACACAATACACCCTATTCAGTGCACCCAGGAGGGGATAAGCTATATAAGGACTTGAAAAGGTGTATTGGTGGCCTTGAATGAATAATGGAGTTGTGGAATTTGTAGCAAAGTGTCTGACTTGCCAAAAGGTGTAAATAAAGCACAAGAGGCCCCAGGGAACTATACAATCATTGGAAATTCTTGGATGGAAGTGGGATTGCATTTCAATGGATTTTGTGACTTGCCTTCAAAAATCAAAGAGTGGAAATGATACCATTTGGGTAGTGGTGGACAGACTTACAAAATCTACAGTGTTTATACCAATGAAGGAGACTTGGAAGATGGAGCACAATTTGCAAAAGCTTACATCAAGAATGTTGTGAGGTTATTACATGGAGTTCCAAAGGATATTATATCTGATAGAGACTCTAGGTTTCTCTCAAAATTATGGAAAAGCGTGCAGGAAAACTTTGGTACGACACTTAAGATGAGTACAGCGTTTCAACCTGCCATAGATGGGAAAATTGAGTGAACCATTCAAACCTTGGAGGACATGTTGAGAGATTGTGTTATAAACTTCCAAGTAGGATGGGAAGATAGCTTGGATTTGATTGAATTTTCCTATAATAATAGTTATCATGCGAGCATAGGATTGGCTCCATTTGAGGTATTATATGGGAGGAAGTGTCGTAGTCCAATTCATTGGAACGACATAAGTGAAACAATGATTCTAGGGCCCCAAATTATTGAGGATACAGTGAAGCAAGTAAGGGAAATTCAAGCTAAGATTCAAGCAGCTCAAGATCACGAAAAGAGCTACGAAGATATGAAGCATATAGTAGAGGAGTTTGAAGTTGGTGACAAGGTGTTATTAAAGGTATCACCAATGAAAGAAGTAATGATATTTGGGAAAAAAGGAAAATTGAGCCCAAAGTACATTGGTCCATATGAAATTCTACAAAGGATAATAGGCTAGGTAGCTTATAGGTTAGCCTTACCTATAGAGCTAAGCAAAGTGCATGATGTATTTCATGTGTCTCAATTAAAAAAGTTATATGCCTGATAAATCCCATGTGTTGCAACCTAAAACCATTGAGCTAGACCAAAGTTTAACCTTTGAAGAGAGACTTGTCAAAATTCTTGACAGTAAAGTGCGTAGTACACGCAATAAGAATGTTAAGATTGTGAAAGTGATATGGTCTAACCAAGAATATGAGGAAGCCACTTGGGAGGCAGAAGAAGAAATGAAAAATAAATACCTACCCAGAGTTGTTTCAGCTATGTTGAGTTACGGGGACGTAACTCGTTTTCTTTTAGGGGGTAGAATGCGGTAGAATTTCGCACTTTTTCTCTATATTTTCAGTTATTTTTGTGCTTTTTGCACAATTTTAACGAGTATTTTGAGTTATTGTGCTCTCAATGAAACACAAAAAGGTAAAGGTATGACAAAAAGTACAGCAATAATATACTAAATGAGGAAAAACTTTGAATTTCATTTCCCAAGTTTCAGGACGAAACTTCTTTTAAGGAGGGTAGACTGTAATACCTCTTATTTTTATGCATATTTTATTTTAAGTATTTTGAGAAGTATTTAATTAAATTTAAATGTTTTATTTAAAGTATTTTAATTATTCATTTTAATAAGTTTAGAAACATTTTATAAAAAGAAAGTTTTATTTAATTAATTATTTTATTTAAGCTGGGGTTTAATTTAAGAAACTTTTATTTTAGTAAAGTTTTTATTAGGGAAGGGATTAGGAAATAATAAAAAAAGAAAAGTTTAGGGAGAAGGGTTTCTAGAGAAGGGGTATAAACATTCAACACTTGAGGCAAATCAAACTTTGCTTAAAGTGGAGAAAACCCAAGGTAAACTTCTCTCCCTTTCTCTTTCTTTTTCTTTTTTCCCCTTCCCCTTCTCGGCCTCACCCTCACCGTCGGCCACCACTACCACCGGTGGGCCGCCAGCGGCCAGCAGCACCATCCATCGGCAGCAGGCAGCCACTGGCGCTGGGAGCAGCCGTGGTGGCTGTCGGCTGCCCTCCTCTTTCGAACAAAAAAAAATTTAATCTTTTTGTTTTAAATCTAGTTTAATCCTAGATCTAATTATTAATTATGAGTTTTGTGATTTAATTATGATGTTTGATTATGAGTATCATGTAGATTAATTTTTAAATTTTATTTTTAATTGAAAAGCCCCAATTTTTGAAACCCTAGGTTCTTAAATTATGATATATATAATGGTGTAAACCTTTGATTTAAGTGTTTTAAGGCCTAATTACAACAAGTTTTCACTATAATATAATGCTGGAATTTTTGGTGTGCATTAAAAATTAAGTTTCTTTAAGGAATTTCAATTACCCTAATTGGGATTAAAGTATGATGTTTTAAATATAATTTCAGGTTATTTTAATTAAATTATGAGGGGTTTTATAGTATTATATATTGCTGGAAATTTGTGTAGAGAGGATTTTAATACTCTTCTATGATTTTAAATTGTAGAAGACTTCGAAGTGATTGATTTCTATTAGACGTGGCGATTTTAAGATCGTATACAAGGTACGTTCGCGTACTTAGCATAACTTTATTGATGTAGTAGCATGCTAAAGGTGTTTAATTGATTATAAGTAGTATCATGCTAGATTTGGAATGAAAATTATGATTTGGTTGTTGTTGGTGATTGAATACACTACTAGAAATTCCGTGGTTTTTGGACGCTTTTCAGGCTTATTTTCGACACAATAAAGCGTCGGAATTTTTTTTCTCGACGCTTCTGAAAAGCGTCGAAAAAGTGTGAGTCGAAAATTTATTGGATGCCTAAAAGCGTCGCAATTCTCGACGCTTTTTTATCGTCCAAATTTTTATACGAAGCGTCGAAACATGTATAGTTCGCGCACTTTCTCATGTTTGGCGATGCTTTTTCTTGTCTATTATCACAAAATTGAGACGCTTTTTTGTGTCCTTAGATTTATGTATTAGATGTCCTCTGTTTTATCAACGCTTTTTTCTGTCCATATTTTTAAATTTAGTGACGCTTTTTCTAGTCCATACTCTTTATATAATTTATCCAATGTGGAGAATATTTTTCTAGCAAAAATAAAACTTAATTCAGTCATTGGAGATTAATATAGCTAGCAAAGATACACCATATCAGAGTTTTAAAAAATTAAAAGAAAATTTTACTCAAATTCAATTTTATTCATAATTAATGAAGAGTACAACTTGGTATATGTACAATACAGTGCCAAAAACCAAGATATTCTGACATTTTTTTTTATCTAAGCTAGAATAATAAAAGAAAGTACAAATACATTCTATGTATCACAAATCTTGTACCAGAAACATCAATGTGACAAGCCTCCACCACTGGCTAACCATGACTGATAAGATAATTAACCTTTGCAATTTGCACCCTACATCAGGGGCAACGAATAGGAGACGAAAGGCCTGTCAAAGTAAGGCATGTGCTGAGCTTTCGGGACGAGTTCCTTTCTTAATCTTCTTATTTCTTCCTCCTCTTCTAACTGTTAGAGCAAAAGAGAAGTTTCTGACTTAATTTACTGCGATCATAATAATATTGATTATGTTCAGTTTATTAGTTCTTTTGTAGTGTACCTTCTATTGCCTCTCTCTATCCAGTTTGTATTGCTCTATCAACGTCAATTTTTCAGAAATCTGGTAATTGAATCACAATTATATTAGCAACATATGTGATGCATACTATGATTACCAAAAGTACTTAAAAGAAATGAATTCAATAATCACTAAACATACCTGGTTTGACCACAAATAGGTGAGCTTATCGTTGTCCAAGCAAAATCCTAGAGCTGTATAGGATTAATAATCACACATATGTGCAAATTCAATCACCAGATTTCAATTACCGGCAAATTCAATTACCAGATTTCAATTACCTGGTGGTCAATTATCACACATATGTGCAGCTTTAGGTCGATTGGCCTTGTTATGTCTTTAATTGGTGGCTTTATCAGACACTACATATGAACGTACACGTCAAGTTAGCATTCACTGAATTATGACGATGATGATGAAGACAATGAGATCAGAACCAAACATGTCAATGAAGTTTTTTAATTCCAGCCCTTCCTTTGTCCATGTTCTCCGGATTCCTCATATTTGCACCAATCTACTATACCATAAAATAAGTCCCTGGTAGTAAATCATTAGTGAAAACCAAATGTCCACAATTTAAGATGATAAATGATCTCAAGCTAACATGAACTCCTTTCAAAAAAAAAAAAAAAAAACAGCTAACATGAACTTGACTGACAAGGATTAAGACATATGTGTCTCCAACTCTCCATTAATTTACTTAAAGCATGAGTGCATGACATACAAGTTATGTTCCACAAAATGAGTAAACTTAAGTACTACAATCACTCATGTGACCAAGTGTTAGACTGTCAATGATAAAAAAAAAATAATAATAAAAAAAAAAGGTCCCAAATGAAATGTTAAGTGTCTATACAAGCTCAATTATTGAGAATCCGACATGGGTATTTGAGGAGTAATGAAGAGTTTAGAGTAACATAACCAAAAAACACAAAAAAAAACAAAAAACAAAAAATGTGTATATATATGGAATTACAGAAAAAACAAGATCTTTCATTAAAACAATGCCTAAAATAAGGTGATATTTCATTTAAACATAGATCTTTCATTAAGTCATGATAAATGGCAAAAGACGAAAAGCCATTGAGAATTGCATTACTATCTCTAGTCAGTTATCTTTTATGTGTTTGAGAACTCTTTAATTATTTCTAAAATACAAAGAGACAATGTTATGGAGTCCTCACAGAAAAAGTTATAAATGTATAGAAAGTCACCAAAGAAAATATCCCAACCTTAAAGATTTTAAAACTAACAAATTCACTAGATGCAGTAATTCTTTTGGCTATTGCAACTACGACCTCATACTCTCATAGACGCATATAGATATCACCACTCAAAGCTACCATCTAAGATCCACACCCAATAGAGGAGATGTTGCTTAAAAGCCATCATCTAGGCAACCAAATTGACCAACAATTGTAATCCAAGCAAAATCCTAGAGCTGTATAGATAATTTATAAATTCACAAAAAGGTTTAATTTCTTTTATTGATTCAAGTCTAGTAACACAATATGGACACAATCACAACCACAAACACACAAACAAGAGATAGGACACAAACGATACACATCCATGAAGATAGCTAAGGCAGCTCAGCCAACAAGGGAAGGCAGTAGCACGTTTGCAAACACCTCAATGCATACAGACGCAACACCACACAATAACAACAGCAACATAAAAAAAAGAACAAAACAGAACAACAATTAATAACAAAAGCAACAACACATACATTCCTGCAGCACCAACCTATTCGTTTCTCAGCCACCTGCCATGAGGCTGCCAATACGGTTGCTATGCCAGGAACACAAGAGCAACAGAGATATCAAGTAGGCACCAAATTAGCACAAAAGCATCAAGTTGAGAATAAACTCCTTCAAATCCTCTTAATCACAGTCCCTTATACATCCTGAAAAAAATAATGAAAGAAAGCAAACCAAAAGAATTTTAAATTAACATTGTATTTGATGCATAGATCTAGAGAAGGAATTAATTATTCAATTGAAAAATCATATCAGAGTTGATAAAATTACAAGTAACATTTGCTTGGTAAAAGCTACAGCCAAAGATGAATTGAATTTGATTAAAATAAAGTAACTAAAAAATAAACAAAAATATATCAAACAACCGATTAAATACAGTAAAAAGGAACCTTTCTCAAAATCTCAACTTTTCTTTGGAAAATTACTTCAAAATTTCCAATTTAATCGATTGTGTATAAACTTCTTTTAAATTCGCACATGAAATCGACAATACTATTTCTTATAAACGAATATTTACCTAGATTCATCGCAAAATGAAGCATAACAATATATAATAAATCCCTATAATCTCTGTTATTCATAAATCAAACAATATCTGATAATAATTTTGTAATATTGTTTAAATTAGGTTGCTAAAACTATTTAATAGACTTCAATCAAAAGCGAAATTCGTATTCAATCGAAAATGAAAGATGTACCTTTGAAACAACAGCGGCATAGAGAGTGACAAAATCAAGTAGAGAAATTTTATCAAGCATTAGGGGAATTGCAAGAAGAATTAAGATCTAGATTAAGATTCCATAAATCTCACGAAGAGGGCAGAAAAGTTAGGGTTGAGAACTGAGTATTCTAAATTTTTTTTTTTTTTTGGTTTATTTTCCGCTTAAAATTGAAACGTGGGCTTAGTTGTGAGGTACTAATAATTCACGTGCTTGTCTTCTCGACGCTTCCAGCGACGAAAATTGCTTTCGTCACCTAAAAGCGTCGAAAAAATGCGGATACTAAATTCTTCTGCTAACTCCCCTTACCTAGCGTCGAGGCCCCAGCGTCGAAAAAACACTCATTTTGTCGTAATTATGAAGCATGATTTATTTGTGATGGATTAATGGATGGAAAATTATAGTATGGAATATTTTTTATGAACCACACTTTTATTTATGGCAAGTTAGAGAGCATGTTTAATTAAACTAAATATTTAATTTGGTTTGGAATATTAAAAGGGAATTTTATTATGGTTCATATAATTTTTATTGATTCTTTAAGCATGGGAAATGAGCTATGTAAGTGTCTAAGTACACGATGAATAAATTATATGTTGGTGCCTTAGTGCACTTAAGGTGTTTTTAGCACCGAGAAATAGGATTTGTGGCGCTTTATGCGTTTAAGGTGTCATTGGCACCGAGGTAGATTTTAAAAGGGTTCAATATTAAATATTATGTAGTCACTAATTATTCAAGAGTTAAATTGGTATGTTTGATTGTTTGTATAATTATTGTTGATTGAATCACTACAAGAAACAGGGTAATTAGCGACGACCAAAGTAGTCGCAAATCCGTCGCAAAAATGGATTTGCGACAGATTTGCAACTACTTTGGATAGTTGCCAAAGACCTTATCGCAAATCCATTGTTGTGACTACTTTTTCAACAGTCGTAAATTTAGCGACGGATTTGCAACGCCTTTGCAACTGCCATTTAGCGACTAACTTTCAAATTTTAGCAACTAAATCATTGTCCGTCGTAAAATATTTGCGACGGATTAGCAACTACGGAGACTGACAGGGTAAAGTCGTATCCCCAAATCAAAAGTAATTTCTAAATCCTCTAACTAATGTAGATAGGGAAGTAGGGTCGAATCCACAGAGAAACGAATCTTTCTATTCCTAATTAACTAATATAATCTAGATTATGAGGTAACCAATAATTATATTTGAATAATAAACTAAACTACGGAGATCAAGAATAAGGAGAAAATAATAAATAAAAGGGTCTAGGGCATAGGTTCACCGATAAATAATATTCCAGGGTAGAATATAATAATCATTCATCAATGCATATATTAATAAGATTATAAAGGGTTTTCGCTACGTATTATAATCACACAATTAATTTACCGGTATTAAATCTCATCTTTCGAATCTCGACCTAACCATTTATAAATTAACCTGTCTATTGAAACTAGACCTAAACATCAATTCTCATCTGTCGAATCTCAAATCAATATTGTCAAACTCATGCATACAAGATCAGGCCTAATCTAGTCACAGAGCATTAAATCAATCAATAGGAAATTAATCTAGCATTGACAATCAATAATAATAAATTACCCTTTCATATTATTTATGGATCCTCATAAACCCTAGAAATAAAACTACTCACACATAATAGAAACTAAACTAATCAAAGCAATAAAGTAAGACATGATCAAAGGAAAATAAAAACTAAGATTAAGAGAAGAGAAATAGTTACCAAACAAATCTGGGATTGAGAATGGATTAAGAACAAAAGTATATGAGAGAGAAAATCTAAGAAAACAATTAAGAGGGTAAAGAAAGAGTAAAGAGAGAGAGAGAGATCCTAAAATCGTATTACGGAGGAGTATTTATACTCCGTGTAAATCCTAAACTAAAAACAAATTTAAGCGACAAAATTAACTCCTAATATTTACACACGCCCGATCGGGCAAGGCACCGCCCGATCGGGCGCGCCTTTTTGCTCTTCAGGTAGACTCTCGCACCCGGTGGGGCGCGTCACCGGGCGCCGACCTTCGTTTCTCCCGCCCAGTCGGGCGCGCCTCCGGGCGCCAGCCTCTTTGGTCGGGCGGCTCTCTTGGGCCATTAATTGGACTACGATTGGGCTCCAATTCTTCGGGCCAATCTGGGTATCCTTTTCCGGTCTTGAATACTCGGTCCAAATGCCCCGGTATCACCTATACCGAGCCCTTAATCACCGGTTCGATGGCTCTAACCGGCCTTGGGCTATAAAAACTGGTCGTGTTTCTCCAGTGCTCGTGATTGCTCCAAAATATCTCGGGAAAATACTCCAAAACTGTAAATCCCTGCAAAAGTCAACCAAATCTACGAAAAAACTTGAAAACACCAATTAGTAATAAAAGTGGCTCTAAAGAGCCAAAAATACTACTAATTATGACCAAGGGACGGGGGTAAAACACTATATAAAATAGACACATCAGAGACCAATGTTTTAAGACTACTTTTGTGACGGATTAGCGATACAAGACCAAACTTTTACGACTACGAGACTAAACCTTTGCGACTACGGAGACTAGTTTTATGGCGACGGATTTACAACTGCTGAGACTAATTTTTTTCGCGACGGATTAGCAACTACTTACGAAACCAAACTTTTGCGACTACAAACTAATTATTTGCGACTGATTAGTGACTATTGAGACTAATAATTTTGCAACTAACCAATTAGTCTCTAAACCAAATTTGCAATTGCTAAATTTCTGTGACTAATTATCAATATTTGGAGACCATAATTTAGCAACGACCAAAATCAATCACAAAAAAGGTACCCATGCATAAATTCAAATAACCAAAATGTTAATTTTATTCAAATATCCAAAATATAATCAATTTTGTATCAATGTATTAAAAAATAATATTTAACTCATAAAACTAATTGTTTCAAAAATCACCTCTCATATAAAGAAAGCTACTTCAAATAAGAACTAATGACGATATAAAAGACCAGTTGTTCACAAAATTACCACCAAGAAAATAAAAATCACTTAGTTGAATCACGAGAGCGGGTGATTGTAGGCGTAGGAGGCTTAAAAGGACGGTAGCGTTGTTGGACAAGTGATGTCGTTTCCTGCATTTTTTTTTTGCATAGCTAATTTTTCCTTCTTCCATGTTGCTTTTTCGATCTCGTGATTCAAAAAATTAATTAGCATATTTTAAGCTCTTTGCCGCTATTTTTTTTTGGCTTTCTTCTACCTTGTTAAGGTTTTCTTCTGCCATCTTCTTTAATTCTTCAACTTGAGAGCTTAGTTGAGAAATCATGGAAGAAGTTGAAGATGATGCAGCAGTAAGTTGAGAAGTAGGATCGCTCTTGTAGTACATTTGTGAAGCACTCCCTAAACCGTAAATTTTTCCTTTCTTTTGCCCACCTGCAACCTCCAAATAGACTTTGTCGGGGTTTATATATTCCTCAAGTTTTTCCATATATTCTCCCTGCATTAAGATATGTATTAGTAACTATGATATAAAATGTTAAAACTTAAAGACTAAAAACATTAAAAAAAAAAAGTTAAAAAAAAATATGCAACACTTACATTACAATAATTTATGTAAGCAATTATTAGTAAAAATTTCGACAGAGTCTCCTTTGTAAATTGAAGAATTCCCTCCAATAGGGTATGACTTCAAAATAAACCCGTTTTAATTCACATCATGCCATACCACGTTAATCATTTGATTAACGCGGACCAATTATTCTCATCCTCCAACTCAAATCAAACAAACAAATAAATAATCTATAATATCTTGAGTATCAAATGCCTGTAAGTTGTAACTATCTAATCCATATGCTACTAAGTTGATCATTCATATGCTTCCTATTATTGTAGCAAAGTGACACAGAAAGGCAAAGATATAATCTACTCTCTGCATGTCTGAAAGACGGCTATGAAAGGCCAAAAAAAAAGTACCTATTTTCCTTTGCCCTCTCATCTGCAGCACCACCAACACTCATACGTTTGTGTGGTCGGCAGGCTACCAACTCCAGGCCTCCATCTTAAATATTAAGGTTGCACTACATTATACAAGATCAGGTCGATGAAATTAACAAAAGGAGACAAAAATTACAAAATTTAGAATGAAAATTCTTGATCTCCCAAACACAATCCCCACTTTTTTTTCTCAAAAAATATCATGAAGCATTGATTATAATTAAATAACAAAACTGCTTAGCAGTTAGCAATATAATCACTTGCCAAAAAGGCAGTAAAGTTGAAAAGGCAGTGAACAATGACATACCCAGGAGGAATATCTTGAGGTGAACCTGCACTTCCATATGCATACTCGGGCTTACAAGTAATCTTAGTTATTTCACCAACCTGTTAAAAAACTGATTGTCAAATTTCAACTAGATGATACAAATAATTGAGTGGAAGAGCTTATGAATAAGTAAATAAGTGATATTCACCTTCATAGTTATGACAATGCCTTAATCACAGTGCCCTGTCCTATCTCAAATGAAAAGATTGTATTGTCTTCATGTGTACTATCAAAGACTTCATCTGTTTAAGCCAGAATGCCTTCATCGCTGTAACAACATTTAAATAACACATTTCTACAAGATATACTTTCTAAAAGATAATGAAAAAAAGAGAAGTAAAACAAACACCTTGGTTAAAGAAAGAACGATGCATATGATAATTTTCCATGTAAAAAAAAAAAAAAAAAAAAAAAAAAGTCAAACTAAAAACTTCCATAATAATGATTTACAGTTATTATCAAGCTATTGCTAAATTTGACATCCTAACAAACAAGTGTATGATTGTTCCATAATAGTGATGTGCATTTATTCTCAAGCTACTTGAATGGATTTATGAGACATTGATTGTTCCATAATAGTGATGTGCATTTATTCTCAAGCTACTTGAATGGATTCATGAGACATTTTTCTCCTCTATCCTCTCTAGGTATTTCTTGCAATGGTTTAATGACAGTATATACTTCCATCATAGGAGGGGAAAGACAGAGTAGGAGTCAAATATCATGATATCCAATTTTTGTGTGTGTTCGTGTCTATCACAAATAACAATACCATTAATTCACTAACAGCAGCAGAGTCATATATAATCAAAGAGAGCAGAGAGAGAGTATGCAGGCAGTTATTTGAGTTTTTATTAGAGAGTAGTGAGCTAAACTCACCCTAGCACTTAATGGTTAATTTGGAAAAAGAAAACAAGGAAATTGTTAACAGGGTAAGGGGAGGAGGGAGGAGGTAAGGCTGAAGGAATAATGTCATCCTAACAAAGGGTAGTGACTACATAGAGAATAGTTTATCATAGTTGCTTTTCTGAAAAATTTCATGTTAAAGAAAATTCCCCTATCATTTCTCTTTATTAATTAACATGTAAGCTAACTAATGCAAACAAAATTCTTTAGATGTCAAAAAAAAAGTGTGTACAAAAAAACTAAGAAAAAGATAGACGATTCCAGCGATAATTTGTTTGCTACTTTTTTTTTAAAATGGAAAGTGGGATAATATTAATTAAAATTAACCAAATACAGATTGGTTCCAATGTTTGAGCAAGAAAAACCGAAAAGCCGTACAGCAAGGCCTGGAAAAAATGATACCTATACAGGGATCTGAAAGAAAGCATGGTTAACAGGATACCCTAAACAAAAGAAAACATGGCTAATAGACTACCCTACCTGTAGGGAATATTTCAAGCATTAATCCCCTAGCTTGAACCCCACTGTGATCATACACTAAAGTACGGTGGCGTCCAAAGGGAAAGAAGATAGAGCAAAAGAGTCGCCAATAAGTTTTAGGAACTTGTAAACCGTTCACGAGGTGAAGGTTAAACCCCTTAACGATCCAAGAAATCGTCAACTCCATAAGGTCTTGAACCAAATAGGGTTCGGGGATGAAGGTACAAATCCAACCTAAACGAGATTGAACCTGCCTTAATAATAGGCCTCTACGTTATTCTGCTCGTATTCATGTGCGCTTTTTGACTAACATGCAATCAATAGGATTAACCCTAAACCTGTTTATCTATGTTGGTTGAATATTAATGCACAAATAAAACTATTATTGGCGATCACTTGAATTATAATCACATTAACCCTAAACAAGATTACTAATTATCTTATATAAGCATGATTACAAGTACTAATTCCCTTTAAACATGCACAAAGGCGTGATCAAGCAATAATAATAAATAATATCTATCAAGCAACATAATAAATAATCAATAATAATAAATTATAATAACAATCATGATAATCATAATCATAATTAATAATCATAAATCATGTTAAAGCAATAATAATATCAAGATCCTAGGCATGATACTAACAAGATTAATAACAAACCATAGAACGTCACTAAACAATAAAAATCAAAGCTTTAACCCTAACATGATAATAACAATCATAAATACTAGGAAAGAAAATAGAAGGCATCATACTTTTAACCATACTTAATATTAAAATTACCCTAGACATGATACTAGGAATCATAATAACAACCTAAGCATGAACTCTATATCATAACATCAATTAAACCATTAAAGTACTTACTTGGATGCCTCGTACCTCTTTCTAATAACAAAATACACACATTAGTAACTTCAAGGAAAATAATAAACAACAATTAAATTAAATAATTGAAAGAGAGATTAGGGACCAAACCCTCAGAAATTAAACCTTTCACGTCTAGGGCGAAGACAAATTCGAATATGGCTAGGTGTATCTAGATCTAATGAATGCGGAATTTTGTATTTAAAAGGCAGTTTAGAATAAGAAAGAGAAAGAGAGAGAGTAATCAAGAATCTTGATGAGAGTTGGTGAAAATAGATGAGAATAAGAATTGATAAAAATTAGAAAGAATAAGAATTGATGATTGTTGATTGGTGAGAATTGATGAATGAAACGGAGTTTTTACGACGTTATTTATAAAGAAAATCAGCCAAAAAGATAAAATATCAAAACAGAGTTCTGGCGCACATAAAATCTGATTAGCGCCAACGCTGGCTATTGGCGCCAGGCGCCAATGCTAGCGCCTGGCGCTACAGCTGACGTTTGCACTGATTCAGAAATTCACACGTTTTCTTAAAATCAGATAAAAATTGTCGTACAGGAAGATAAAATCATATTTCCCTCAAAAAATATTCTTTGATTTTAATTAAAACTCTGAAAAGTCAACAAAAGTCAATTTATCAATGCTAATTGATCGAATTAGAATTGAAAAGAACCTTCTAGAAGAATCTAGAAGACTAAAACCATTCCTAATTACATTAGGAATGATAAATCTATATTAGGCCCTCCCCTAGATCATTCGGCCGCATATAAGGCTCAAACCGGGCCCAGTTCAGTAAATTGGTCATAACTTCCTCAATATTCATCGGAATTGGGCTTATAATATATCGTTGGAAAGCTCTTGTCAAGCCCCATCCAACTACACTTCTATTGTACCCATATCATGGACTAACCAAACTAGATTGGCTGTTTTCTTAAAATAAGTTTTTAAAAACAGAGCGAAGAGAAAAGAAATTAAAACTATCCGCAACACTAAACTTTCCACACTTTCACTTCATTCGATTATGATTCGACGTGAAAGGTACTCATCACTGGGTTTGGTTTTGGGGAGACACAAATGGGTGTCTACAGAAGCCCCCACTTTGACTGAGTTTGGAGAAACGTAAGTTTCGAAAACAAAAGTCAAAGTATCGATAGGGACGGAGAATGATTCAGAACGTTTTGCGATCCTAAATCACTCTTGCAACGCCGATACCTGCAAACTAGCGTTAGTTAAACAGATAAAAGAGTTAAGAAACGCGTATCTTGCACCGTCGAGCACACGTCTCTGAAAGTAACCAATTTTCTACCGCATTACTGATTTTGATGACCTCCTGCCAAGAGAATGCCATCCCGCTTGAAAATCGCTACACTTGTAACTGCTTCCAATATTGAAGACTGCTTCGCTTGAAACGATCCTCCTCCGCTTTGATAATATTCCACGTCCAAGGGAATACTATCAAAGATTGCTTCGCTTGAAACAATCCTCTTCCGCTTTGTGACCATCTTCCACGTCTAAGGGAACATGATCGAAGACAACTTCGCTTGAAATCACCTTCAGTTGTTTGTGACAACTCTCCACAATCTAGGGAACGCCACCTTGCTGTTTCGATGTTCACTCGTCTCTGAAAAAAGAGCTTCTTTTTTATATTCTTTTGATATGTTCACGCGTCTCTAAACAAAGAGCTTGATAATAGGATGCCCACGCGTCTCTGAGCAAAAGAGCTTGAAAGAAATGTTCACGCGTCTCTGAACAATAGAGCTTGAAAATAGGATGCCCACGCGTCTCTGAGCAAAAGAGCTTGGATTAATATGTCCACGCGTCTCTGGAGCAAAGAGCTTCGATGATATGTCCACTCGTCTCTAAACAAAAGAGCTTGATGGAAATGTTCACGCGTCTCTGAACAAAAGAGCTTGAAAGAAATGTCCACGCGTCTCTGAACAAAAGAGCTTTGATGATATGCCCACGCGTCTCTGGAGCAAAGAGCTTTGATGATATGTCCATGCGTCTCTGAACAAAAGAGCTTAAATAATATGTCCACGCGTCTCCGAACAATAGAGCTTGAATGTTTGAATGTTTGTTGCGATAATATTCCGAAGACCAACGCTTGTCGATCTCTAAAGCTCGCTTGAACTTTGCTTCCGCTAAAACCAGTATGTCGGTGTCTCCGTGATAAGCCAACGCTTAGGCGCTTTAAGCTAAGTGAGATGATCTTTCGTCAGGTCGATCACTTGGACTTTAATCAAACCGACTACTTAATCATGTCAAATTGCTTATAGGGGCTAACTGGCGTACCAAGGAACCCGAAATTGTTGTATGAGATCGAAAATCACCTTTCTGAGAGGCTTCGAGCTCTTTCGCTGCTGAAATATCTCTGGCGCCAAGAATTGACTCTGTCGCCAGACACTGGGATCTAGCGCCAGGCGCTAAAAGCTATTGCCAGACGCTAGATGTTGTCATCTGGCGCTGGAGTAGGGTCTTCCCTATTCTGCTGCACCTGTATTTATTTTTTACTATAGAACTTTGCTAATCTCATTAATTATCTTAGGGTTGACCTATGGTTTAATGTCGCTTGACTCATTGACTTGACACGACTCAAGGTATAAACTTGACTCACTGTGATTGACTCGAGGTTGACTCGACTCGAAGTGAAATGACACGTGTTGATTAAGGGATTTTGCTCCCACCAATCGGAATGCGCCACGTGGGCCAATCAGGTCCTGCCAAGTGTCCTCCAGTTGGAACTGTCAGGGTTTGCCACGTGGCACACGCCTATTTGTCCACCCTGGACCTATTATGTCATGACACGTGGCATCCTCCATGCCTAATGGAAAAACCGGCCACCTAGGCCCAACTTCCAAGGGAAGCCCAATCAGCCCTAGGTTAACCTAAACCTAGGATTGGCACGTTTCCCAAGGTTATAAATACCTCCCTTAATCCTCATTAAGGGGGATGACGCACATTAAACACTCTCACCTAGAGAGACCTAATTACTTTTCCGCATTAATTACTCCTTAATCAAGTACTAACTTGACCGTCGGAGGCGGATCTCCAATCGTCCGGAGCATCCATTTGTTTTGCAGGTACAGGCGTCCGGTTCCAGTCTCGGAATTGTAACTCTCCCGCAGGACATCAGAAAACCCCGAAACATTTTGGCGCCGTCTGTGGGGAGAGTACTTCTGAGATGGCATCCACGTCTGCACCGACTCCTGAAGAGAGGCGTCCCCTAGACGACCCTCAAGTTCAGTCGGACCATGATACTGAGGAAGAATTTGAAGTTGAAGCTCACACAGCTTCAGACGGGACCCTAAGGGCCCGACGCACCCGTCATACCGAAAGGAGGGAACGGGAACATCTTCAAACTGGACTCAGTGATCCAGCCGGCGCACCGCCTGTTCAGCAGCAGCCGGCTGATGGGTCTGCTCCCATTACAAGAAACGAACTCATGACCTTCATGAGGGGCTTCAAGGGAGAGATTCAAGAGTTGCTCAACAAGAAGCCGCCTGCTCTGGCCAAGGAGCAGTCGGCTAAGAAACCTTCCTCTTCAGGCAGGAGGAAGCCTGTTCGAGGGCGAGAGGCGACTCCTCATCCTAACTCTAGGAAGTGGGAGTCGCCTGTCCTTGATTTCACAAAGTACCGCTTTCCTACTCCAGGAAAGAGGAAACCTGTTCGTCATATTCAGGCGGACGGATCGAAGAAAACATACACAGATGCTCGGCTATTGCTAGAGCAGAAAAAGAATGACCGATTGTCAGAGTCGGCCTCTACTTCAGACTTCCAAGACAGTCTACGCAATACCTCGATGAAGTATACTCAGTCGCATCATGAGAGTCAGTCAGGCGGCACCTCCCGTCAGTCCGGCTTTCATAGTGACCAGGCGGTACCAAACTTACCATTTGTACCACAACAACAATATTTTTTGCAGCCACCTCTGTTTGGTGGGCATGCAGCAAAGAATGTCCAACCTATGGACTGGCAGCTATGGTTGCTTAGACTTGGGGAACAGCCGTCGGCCTTCTCCAAGGAAATTGCTGAAGCCGCTCGGCCAAAGTGAAAAATGTATTAGTAGGCGCCTATGATGGCACTACTAACCCAGAAGACCATTTGATGGCATTCACCAACCTAATGTACCTTCA